TGCAGGAGCCTCTGGTCAACCTGCGATTTGGCATCGGAGGCGGAGGAAGGGAGGGGGAAGACCTCCACGCTTTTCTCGTGATGTTGGATGAATCGTGCCGCTACGTCGATCACATCGACGTGAGAGAAGGCAGACGACGCACGCGCGTGGCGAATCTCGCGCGGCATTCCGGCGATCCTTTCCCTGGAGATCCCTTCCGTGGGGATGTCGAGTTTATCGACCTCCAACTTTCCCACGCGCCGTCGGAGGTGCGGATGATTCTTCTCGGCGCGATTTACGTTCGATCCCATGGCAAGAGGTCAATCGTCCACCCTCCTAATTCGTATCTTCGATTGCAAAATCGAACCTGGCGGCGTCCGATCGCCTTTGAAGTCGACCGATGGGAGCTGAACCCTGAAGAGGAGCGGGGGAATTCGAAAACTCCCCTCGCATGTGCGTTGCTGCTCGGGATGCTCGTTCACACCGGAAACACGGCTGGGGAAGGGATCTCGTCGGGGGGGTTTCCTGCCGAGGAGGGCCTTTCCCCCGCGAGGACGACGCCCGTTTTCGAATTTATCCCCGTTCATCAACAAATGCCGGTGGATCCGCGCAAATCCGTTAGCGGGGTGTTGCCTTTGGTGCAATGGGCAGCGGCGTATTTATCCCGTCGTGGACGTCTTGCCGGCCTCCTTCGATCGCCTGCTCGAACGGAAGGGGAAACGGAGGGGGAAGGGGGGGAGACTCCCACAAGGGAGCTTCCCGTCGCCTTTGACAGCCACGGCGGGGTCGATTTCGTCGACGGGTGCGTCTCTCCTGAGGTGGGAGGCTTCCCTGCCGATTGGCAGGCGCGGCTGACGGCGCCCTTCGCGGTTGAGCTGCGCGTGGTGGAGCTTCTTTCCGTCAGACCGCGGATGCCGGATCGCTTTCGTTGCCATGTCGAGGCCTGGGTGTATAGCGGGGGTGGGAGCGCCCTTAATCGGGGGTTTAAATCTGCTTTTCTTGGCAACGCGGAGAATCTTTTGTGGGACCCTGATGCCGAGCCCGCGGTGTTTCTCGTTCACATGTTCGATCGCCTTCGCGTGTTCCTTTACGAGCACGCGGCGGGTGGCTACGGGGATGTCGATTTGCTCCGCATCCCCGGGCTTTGGCAGGCGGGGGAAGGGGGGGTTATCGAGCTCGTCCTCCCCCTCGTCAGCGGCAGCCCTCTTTTCGAGGGGAAAATTCGTCTGCATTTGCGGCAGGTGCCCGTGAAGTCCGTCTACCCGCAGATTCGGAAACGGTGGAAACGTGTGATGAAAAGGCAAGCTGCCCACCACGAAGAGATTCAGCGGCGTGAGGATCAGAGGCATAATCGGGCGTTCCACCTTTGCACTATGATGTAAAGGACGCACGCTGCGTAAACGCAGCTTATCTGATTTTTGATGGGAAAGGGAGGGGGAGGGGAGTTTGTTACTGAAAGCTTCATTCCAAACTCTACGCGAGGTGTGTTCTCCCTCTCCCCTGTAATTATCGTTGGTGGTATCGAACAGATTTACCTTTGGATAGGAGTCTAAAATCCATCGAAATTCCTCTGAGCGAAGACTGCTCTTGCTACTCGCTCTGCTGTATATTTTAAGATCTGATGTCCTGTATATGTATAAATAGCAACTATCTTCAGATTGTATGCTAATCTATCTTCTTTCTGTGTGGTTGAATGCATGACCATTACAAAAGATACCAGTCTAAAAATTTATGGTATATCATCTTTGCTATTGATTTCTGGGATTTTGTATTGGGATACCTATACTCATTACTTGTAAAAAAAAGTACAGTTTTATCCCTTTTTGTATATATCTCAAAGATCCCATCAAAAGGTATGAAGACTCATCTTACAGCGTGGTAAAGTAGTGTGTGTGAGAGAGTTCACTTCTGGAATTGCTGAAAGGGTATTCAATATGGCGTAAGCGAACGCATCGATGCTATGATGAAACTCAATCAATGTGAGGGGGGTGCCTGTGGGTGTGAAATTCACGTGATGGTACGCAACAAAGACCACAGGCGCGTTGCATGCGTGGCGATGTGCGTGGTAGACTTCATAGGAAGACAAAGATGACGTCTAATCATAAAGTAGAAGGGATGGAAGAAAAAACACACATATCGGGTGTATGATTAGATCACTTGCCTTCAACAACGAAAAAGGCGCAACAAAAGCGTGATTTAGAAATCGGTTTTAATTTAGCTATCACCAACACCACTCAAGGAGTCTTTCAACCCCTTTCTTTCGTATATCACGCTATATTCACTTTAGAGACTAAAGTATATGTGAGACATCTCATTGTTTTTCTGTTAATTGCATCATTAATGTCAGCCCGTTTGATTCTTCTTTCGTTTGCCTTTCGAGAGACTTCACGTTTTGAGATCTTAAGAATCGAAGGAGGTGAAATATTCAAACGAAGATTATGTTGTCTCGAATTTCTGTTTCTTCCTGATGTTTATACCTTGTTGTACAAAATTTGTAAATTATACCCGTGAACATTTATGTGTGAATTTCAGTTTAAGCACACAAAATATATATACACAGGTCGCCTCTGATACGATCCCAACGTTCTAGGTTCCGTCTTTCATTCCTTAATCATTATTTAAAGCTCCAAAGAAGTAATTCTGCGTGCACGGCAAGCCTATTCCGTTACAGCATCGAAACTAATCCTCAACATCATCATTAAAATGTCTCCAAAAATGCACTTTACACTATTAAAATTATTTTTCACCTCAACCTTTGTGAAGTGGGAACGTAGACAGACGTTATTCTGGAAAAGTTTCACATCAAAGAAGTATATGTGTGCATCCTCATCAAAAATAAATCCATAAATAAAGCGGATACAACATTTTTTTTTGATTTCCTTCGTATTAGCAAGAAAAAAAACACCACACGCCACTGTGGCCAATAAACTTGATTGAAACAAAGGCATTGACTGAACAAACAAAATAGAAATAACAACAACCTTTGATAGTATTAAACACACACACTCGCCCACCCCTATCCTGAGGATGTTCTACACATACGCAGAGAAGCAGGGCAACGTGCTCTTCGACGGCTGGCAGATGCGCCAGATCGCCTTCGACTCCATGCGGCGCTACCTTTATTATTCCACGGGTACGCTACGGGAGAATCAAATCGCGACGTCGAACCTCGAGTCCACAGGGGTTACGGAGGGCTCTCCCAACAGACCTTCCCCCTCCGCGGCCGCCTCACCGTCAGAGCCGCCCGCGCACGCCGCGCTCTGTGAAGGGGTGCGGTGGCGGAAGAAAATCAAAGTCGACTTTGTCGTGCAGATCGGGAAGGAGCACGAGTTCTACCTTGACGACGTCCACCTCAAGGAAAACGACCTCTTTCAGGTCGAGATCCAAGGCGAGACGCGGCACCTTCAGCCCGGGGAAGCCCCCGCGCCGTGGCCGCTACTTTGCCCATCCGCCGGCCTCGATGGCATCCCTGGCCGCTGCCTCCCCTCCAACGAAGATTTCATCGCGGATCCGTTTTTCCTCCGTGAGCTGTACGAGAGTTTGCGGGATCAGTTCACGAACCTCCGCCTCGAGCGGGAGCGCACGCAGCTGCACACCGGGCAGGCCCCGAACCCTCGTTTTGCGCACTTCCAGACGATTCAGTCGCCGCGCGCGAAAGGGGAGCCTTTTTTCAAAGGCAGCCGCGCGAGCGTCGTCCTTCGGCTTCGCGATGAGTACGAGTACCGCCGCTTTTGCTACGTCGTGCAGAGTGTGTTGGGGTATGATAAGCTCAATGTGCGGCCCTACCGCGGGCTGCCCCCATTCGACCCGCGGAACGGCATCATCTTCGCGCAGATCCCGATGTGCGTCTGGCATACCTTCAAATCGCTCGATAAAGCGGTGATCTACACCTTTTTACGGGGCGACCTCGTCGGGCGGACGCTGGATGGGCAGCTCACACTCTTTCTCCGTGGCGCCTATATCTGCATCACGCACGACACCATTCTGATCTTCCGTGATACCGGCAACATCCCCCGTTGGCTAAAGATGCAGGATGTGCGTGAGTTTCACTACAACACCGTCTCGCGGCGGCCGTTCTTTGCGTTCATCTCGGACCCCAGTGGGATTGACATCGTGTTCATCCCGCAGCCGCCGATCTACGGCCCGAGCGCCTTCCGCCGCTTCAACCCTGTGGCGGAGATCCTCCGGGTTCGGCACGTCGTGCGGGAGATGTGCTTCTCCTCGCTGGAGATCCGCCGGGTGATTGATATCAAGGAGTCCGTCGCGCCTTCCGTCTACCTCCATGTCGAGCAGCACGAGGCGGAGACCGGGGAGCGGCTGCGGCTTGACCCCGAGCCCGGCTCCGCCAGCGCGCTGAGCTGCCCGATGCCGAAGGAGCAGCTCGCGAATGTCTGGCGGGAGGTCCAGTCGATCTACGCGTCACGGGATCACAACCTCGTGACCCAAACCGCGATCCCGATTTACTGCAACAACCCCAATGACACGGCGCTGACCGCGGCCCAGGTCGACGCGCTGTCCCGGCGTCTCGAGCGGGAGCGGGTGACCCAACACGACGTCGTGGGGATCCCCTACCACGAGGCCCGTC